TCTCTCTCTCTCTCTCTCTCTCTCTCTCTCTCTCTCTCTCTCTCTCTGTTCGCGTCTAGCGAGGAAAGAAGCAAAAAAGCCCTTCCAAGCATGCTAGAGAGTTTTCCGCTAGAAAAATTTAATGACTGCTGTGTCATCCATGATTATGAAAGATGCAAACGTTCCCAGGAAGAAAATGTTGTGATGTTTCAAGAATATAAGCGAAAACTTGACAATGGAATAGTTGTCATTACGAAAATTTCAAAACCAATTAAATTTCTTATAGGTGGATCGATCATAGACCGATTTTCATTGATTGAATTTATTATCTACAGTTTACTCATATTTCCGTTATCTCGAAATACACAAGACGACAAATTCGAGAGCGTTAATAAAATTAAAAGAATACCCAAAGAGAACTTTTCAGCACTAGAAAATGCCTAAACTAGAAGATGCCTTAACAGGTAGATGTTATATTAAAGAGAAACAATTTTTAAAGTGAAGGGAATAATTACAGATGATTAAAGAAATTCGGAAAGAAAGTTACATTTTCGCATTAGCCAAACCACACACAAACCACCTAATCTCTTACACATCAATTCATATATGTATTATGGCATTTATAAAAGCAAAAAAAAGAGAAAAAGACAAGTCCATTATTAACTGCCACACACAGAAAGCGCATGAAAAACATTATCGATGACTTTGCTATTTCGTTGATAAATTGAACCTTAACTCTATGTATGATTTATTTCAATCCATTTCTATACATAATTGCCTAATTTTCCATCTTTCTCTGAGGGGAAATGGAAAGTATAAATACGTATATGTAAGCACATACCATGTGTGTGTGTGTGTGTTTTCTGTCCATACCACGTATATATGTAAATAAATATGTAAATAAATGACATTTTCCAAAGACCTAGCTCTAAAGTAGATCTGATCCACCCGCAAATAGGTCTGAAAAAATATTAAAAAATAAAAAAATTCCTCTCTGCTCAAATTTAATGATATGGCGTTAGGAGGGCAATGCCATTATTTGAATTTCGTATAAAAAAAAAAAAGAAAAAACTTACAAAACTACATAACTACGACAGTAAGAGGGAAAATATTTTAGAAACATCGATCAGAGCTGACAAAAGACTTGATTGGTTAGGCGAGGAAGATGCTCTGCTCCCCACATTTTTTTTTTTTTTTTTTTTTTTTTTGTTAACATAAAAATAATAGTCTTACATTTTTTCTTCCGGAATGAGATCTGAGAATAAAGAAAGAAGTCAGATGAACATAACATATTCCCGTATTAACATTCGAATCTTTCCATAAGTCCTTCGAAATGAATGGAAGCTTTTTGTGCAGCTCATCATCGGTTCATTGTCAAGCGACTACAGCAGCGGCACTCCAAATAAATATATATGGAGATCGAAATATTTTTCCAAAGCAACCCCTAAAAAATATTTGTGCGAAACTTTTGTATGAAAATTTCACGAAAAGTATGAGTGATTGTTGGAAGGAAAAAAGTCAAACAAATAGTTTTCTCACATTTCCATTGAATACATATGACAGTCCGTCGTAAAATATTTTTCTTGGACACATATGTTATGTCAACAATACACGAGGACTGCACTTATATATATATATATATCCTTGTCCTTGCGTATTGTTGACATATATATATAAAATACGCGACACATATATGAGATACTATATATGATATTCGATGTCATTGATTTCAAACGAAATAACAAAGTTAGTACACGCACTCTTAAGCAGCGCAGACATCATGAGTCGGAAAAATATTCTCAGGAAAAGGCACAACAACATTACATTTTTTACTTAGTTTACAAATTTTTTCTTAATTTTTCCATTTTCGTTTAATTAAGAAAGAATACCGACCACAGCGTCACTTGTTATAGGCTTTCCTTAAGGATATGTTTTCAGTTATTGAAGGAATGCTGTCGTGTCTTTTCACTTTATTTTTTTTATTTTTTTGGTTTTTTGAAAGCGTTTCACTTACTATTAAACTGGCCTTCCTAGCCGACTTTTTACCGCAAATATTGCAAATGAATGGCAAGATTTTATTATGCACGGTTTTTATATGCTTCGATAAGGTTTTTCCATTAACAAATTTCCGATTACATATCTCGCAAGTTTTCTCCGAATAATATCTATTTTTTTTAGCCACTAATTTCGATTTCTCGTCGCCGGATTTAACTAAAGTATGCTGTAAGGTACGTCGCCTACGCTCCTTAACCGCTTTCAAAGAGCGCAATATACGTGGCTTCCACTTTTTGTGAACGCGCATATGACGCCAGACCAAAACTGATTAATAAAAAATTAAAAACAGAAAATAAGATCATGTAGTTAATCAATGTTTAATATTTTTTAACACACCCTACATCACTTCAAGTACTTTCAAATAATCATTTGTTAAAGAACAACACAGACAACATATTTGCCTGACAGCTTCCCCTCTTATCATTCGTATCGCAATATATTGGCGGAATGGCTATATAGAAAGTTAGTTCAGATATTTTCACGAGGATTTTAGGAGAAATTTTTGGGACAGAATAGAGATTTTTCAGGCATTCATTTTGCTTATCCAGCAGAATTCTTATTCTCCATGTAATCTCATACTTGATTACTAAACTTCAGATACATAGGAAAATAGAGACCATCTAGTTATATGAATATTGAACTCAGAATGAACAATTTGTACAATTTAACCCATTATATATCTATTTGTATTAAATGTATATGCGATTTATGAATTGTTTGAAATACATATTATTTTTTAATTTATTTAATTCAAAATTTCCACTTACCGGAATTATGGGCCTTATATTCACATATTGGACATTTTAACAAATCTACTTCCAATTGGTGCGATTTCCACAGATGTATGGAACAGCGCCGCCAATTATTAAAGTCGACCGAACAAATAAAACATTTGAATTTATCCTTTTCCAAGGTATGACATTTAAGATGTAATTCCAATTGTACGGTAGTTTCAAATCTATACGAACAATTTGATGAAGACATACATACAATGGACATTTTACTACGTATTATTAAGCGAAAATCCTTAAATGGCACCGGACGTAGTTCGCTATCAATTTTCGCAACAGAAACGTCACTTTGCTCCGATTTTTGCTTTAAAACTATTTCGTCGTCTTCAATTTTGTTAACATTGTTCAGATTCTGATCAATAGATATAGATCCCGTAGGTTCATAATGGTGATATAGTAAGAGATGTCCGTGCAAATCTTCTTCTAATTCATATTGGCGATAGCATAACGGGCAAACGAATATAAGAAGAGTTTTAGATTCGTCCGATAGTTTCGTATTAATTTTTGAAGAGCTTTCTTTTGGAATTAGATTAGATTCATCGAGTTTATTTATGTCTGGACAATATTCAATTAAGGAATCCAAATTTTCTAGATCGATTTCTTGTATATCAGCCATTTCTCTTTAAAATTCAAATTATAGATGAAAAAACATATGATTTAAATTTCTAAACTTAGTCATTCCAATGCCTTTAAATTACCTCAAACTTCAGTAACTGTAACGCTTCTAAACGACCACTTTAATGTTGTTAAGATTCAATTCCAATCGTTAGCAAAGACACGAACAACATATGAATTACATCGCAATCTGGCAGCACTTACCATATATATATGTATATACATATATATATATATATAAGTATCCACATATATTTATAAGTGGTAACGTGAACGTCATCTACTAACAGCAAAACAAATCATAGAAACAATTGCGCAAAACAAGTTTGACACGATTTGTAATAAATTTAAAGAATTTTAATGAACCTTTGCGTGTCATTTAGACATATTTTCACAAATTATAACCAAACATGAAAAAGACGCGCACACAACACAAACACTCCGCCCTAGCAATAACAGCTGATGCATACTTTATCATTTATTAATGCAGGGTTACCAAATTTTAAAAAGTCACAAAATATATATATAATAATATTATTTTGTATTTTTTAGATAAACTCAATATATTCTAAATTAGTGTGTATTATCAATTCATCTAGCTGATGTTACATATTTGATGTTTTTTTTTTTTAAATTATAATTATTTATAAGATATTTATTTTTTATATATGCCCTTATAAATAATAAATTAATTCTTTATTCCCAGTTATAGTGCACAATCCCTAACAAAGATATTAACTGGACTTTCGCAAACATTGCTGTTTCTCGCAATAAAAAGGAAAGCAACTAAAAATTATCAAGAAAGAAGTAGGATAACATTTATGAAAGAGGAATTGTTTTAATTAACTAGTGTTCAGTGCATAATGTATTTAGTTTTATGCGCTTTCAATTAAATGTATCATAAGTTGATAAAAAAGAATAAAGGAGCCCAATAGAGAAATTGAAAAAGTAGTTCTTTGTTTAACATAAGTAGAGTAGAATAACAAAGAAAAAAAGCATGGCCAGCGCCTTGGAGAATTTTGTGAATAGTGTGCGAACCCATAGTTCATCAGGTAAGCATTTAAGAAGGGAATCATCAACAATCTGCGAATAGCGGGAATTTTTAGGATAACTGTACAAAAACAAAAAAGTAGCAAACAACTTCTACATAAATATATTTTTTCCTATTAGGATTGTTTGAGGACTTAGCTACCCATTTGCTTGAATGTGATGAATTATTAAACAAAAACTGGAGCATACTTGATAATGTGTTGGAAACGCTGAACGTATCACAACATTCTCTAGGTGTCCTTTATGTATTGGTAGCAAAATTCAATTGCGCTGCAGTATGTGAAAGAAAAACACTTAACTGAAAAATTCGTTTTATTGCTTCTAATATTTTTTTAAAAATCTTTTAATAGAATTTGAATCTAGACGCTGATGCTATCTTTACATTATTTAAGGATTTTATAGAACAATGCGATGTTTACCAAGTTCAACTAGCTGCCCATGTCTGTAAGTGGCAAGCGTTAGTGATTAATTACATAAAATTAATTCACATTACTCTGTTATTTATTTATTTATTTTTTTTTTTTTTTCAAAAGACTACGAATTATGTCATCTGTTTACCAAAAAAATAGTCACACAACCTAGCTGCATATATGCCCTTAACGTATTAGCGGCTGCCATTAATCAAATACGTAGCAGCGAGTCTCAATTGACGCCTATACACGCCGATCTATGTAAGCTTAGCCTTAAGTCAAAATGTTTTAAGGTGGCATTAAAATATTTAGATACGGATATTACCTCCATAACAACTGCTTCGGAAACACGAGTACATAAACCGGTAGAACTATTTAAATTTGGATTAATTGACATTTAATCGAATATTTGCCTTTAGGATCCAAATGGTGATGCTGAATACTTTCTACTATATTACTATTATGGTGGCATGATTTATACGGCGGTTAAGAATTTCGAACGTGCTTTATACTTTTTTGAAGCCTGTATATCAACGCCTGCCATGGCGATGTCATATATTATGCTTGAGGCGTATAAAAAATTTATATTGGTTTCATTAATATTGCATGGCAAGGTGATTAATTACATTTTTAATGTTTTTTTTTATTAAATATTAAAATACTATGAAATATTTTCGTATTCATTGTAGATTGTACCCATACCGAAGTATTCGTCTCAAGTAATATCTCGTTTCATGAAACCAATTGCTCAGGTCTATCATGCAGTGGCCATTGCCTATGCCACCGCTTCTAGCGAAGAATTACGTGCCGTTATTAATAAGTTCAGCGAAACATTTCTACGTGATAATAATATGGGTTTAGTTAAACAGGTGAGCAGGAACATTTTTTAATCCTAATGAAAGGCGAAAAAAAAAAACACCTAAAATAAAACGTAATTTAAGAAATACTAATTATTCGCTATTAAATAAATGCTTAAAACGATTTAGGTCGCGACATCATTGTACAAGAAAAATATTCAAAGGTTAACCAAGACGTTTCTAACGTTATCGCTCTCGGATGTGGCCAGCAGAGTTCAATTGCCTACAGCTGCTCTAGCGGAAAAATATATATTAAAAATGGTATAAAATGAAATTGTTATGTAATTCAATCAATAAGTTTTATAAGCATATGCGTCTTTAAAAATTTAGATAAAATCTGGTGAAATTTATGCCAGTATCAATCAAAAGGATGGTATGGTAATATTTAAAGATGATCCTGAAAAGTATAATTCATCGGAAATGTTCCTCAAGATTCAACAAGACATGGATAAGACTATGAATCTAATAAAAAAAATTAATGTAATGGAAGAAGATATCATACTTAATCCTATGGTAAGAGAAATTTATTAACATCGGTTATGCCATTGACCGAATTGAACGATATTTTTTAAATTTCTTTCTCCTCTTTTTAGTATGTGAAAAAGGCTATTGGCAGTCAAGACGAGGACATAACGTCTCAGCAAGCAAAACCTTATTCATGGTGTGTGTTTATAAAATTGTACATGATTCGTTTCCAATATACGCAAAAATTAAGAATTGTCTAGAATTCGCGTTGGACAATACGGTTACATCAAAATTTGTAAAGTATTTCTATTGACTTCTTAGTTGACTGAACCCTGATTAGGCCACGAAAATGCAAGTTTCATATCTATATGCGCTGTATGTTGTATCACTACAATTTGCTATTTATTGCGCAAGGGCCCTTAGCCTAATCATCCGTGCCTTAATTATGTCCATGTTTGTAGTGAATTTTTAAAATGATTTTCCTAAATATTATTCATACTGGGCTTGAGAAAAATATTTACCATTCAAAATATAAATTATAGTTTCTTCTGTATAGTGCGCGAGGCATCTTTATTTTCAAATTTGCTCAATGGCCAGTCAATCAGAAAATATGTATTCAGTTTTAATTCTTTCACGGCATTTTTGACCTGCCATTAACTGAAAACACCTCATCGACTAATTTCGATGTCCACTCTAAACCTTTGTAAAATGATCGAATATCAGCAATGGGTTAACGCATAACATCGCCAGACCTTAGAACGGCATTTAAATTTTCAAATTCAATTAGTGTTATAAAGTAATCCCAAAAAAAAAAAAAAAAAAAAAAATACAAACATTACTTTGACGTTAATTTTTTATTTTAATAAATGATTTTAAATAATGTTTCACTTTTGTTATATATCAATTTTTCAGTGATCCCATAGATTGATGATTGAATTTTCTTAAGACCAGCTATACACGTACGACTGCTATTGCAACATTTTTTATTTAAACATAATAAAATATTTTCGCATCGTTAAATTACACATCATATGCGTTAAGCGTTTCTCTCAATTTCGATAAAACAAGGATGAATTAAAGAAAGGAAAGCTTCAGAAACTAGCAAACTCATGAACATTGTTTTTAAAAAATAAAAAAATTAAAAAAAAAAGTTTACAAAAACAAAAAGGATATTGAAGAATAAAAAATAAAATAAGCTGAGAATGCAATTTTAGAAACCAAAAAAGTTACAAAAAAAAGAATGAAAGAAAAAGAAAATGTGTTATTTCAATGATTATTAAACTAAATTTTCATATTAATGTTTAAAGAAAAGTAAACGCTGTAAATTTACAAACAATATCATAATTAATTCCGGATTCGAAGTTACTTTTGATAAAATTCAATTTAAATGCAATTTCTCTTCGATCGCAGACTATGCAGACTATGTTCATTAAATATGTAGAGTGCCGTTAGATAACAGCGGTATAAAAAATGACAATAAAGAAAAACAAGTTCAGAATAATCTTATCATTAGGCGACACTTACGAGCAATTGTAGATTATTTTAATGTTATTAGATGTTTGCAAAAATATTGATCACTTTTTCATTTGAAAAAGGCATTGATACAATATATATTAATCAACCATTATTTTCCATTATTTTGTACAATATTTTACAATATTTTTGCCAACATGGCACCTGCCGAGCCACTTTCGCACTTCTTCAACGTGGCGGATCCGCGGGCCGGCCAAGCCATGCTGCACCGATCTGCACATGTGGTAATCAGGAAGCGCCGTGTCGGGTGTGCACGCTGCTTGTGACAGAACTTCCCATTCGAGCTGCAACTGCGCATCCCGGGCAACTCTTGCAAAAAGTGGCCAACAAATGGTATTTTCACTCACTTGTCAATCGTTGAACCCAAAACTGAAAATTGAGATATGATGGAGCAGCATCACCATAAGCCTCTGAACGTATTTGGTGGAGTTCGTCAGCAAATGTCGTCAAGTAAACAATAAAAATAGTGAATTTGAAAGAAGACGAATTTTGAGCGCTGCAGGATTAGCGTACGCGTACGCCGAATAAATCAATAATATTAAATTGAAAACTGTTATTTTGTGTAGAGGAAAGTTAAAATCATCAAATTTAACCGTTATGTATTTTCCATTTCATTATCATTTGTTGCTGATCAAAATTTTTGCAAACACCGAATAATTACTCGTTTATTACCGCAATTTTGCAATCTATAGAAATTCATTGTCTCATCTATAAACTGCAATTAGCCCATATTAGGGTTATTGCGTTTTCGACAATGAATTATAAATTCGCTAATAACTTTAAATATGAATATTATCGATTATCTATCCCAAGTAGATCATGTTTTGAATGATGACCGTAGCAACGTTAATAGTTTTCTTTTCGGAAGCTCCACTGTTTCGAAATGATTTAGAAATTAAAAATGGCAGTTAGGATTAAGCAATTACGAAGAAATGAACAGTTCATCGATTAACTTAATACATGAATATTTTATTGAATGAAAATTTAAAGCATTCAGTAGAAAGGAAAGATTGATTACTTACTGCCAATAAGAAGATGCGCAGATTTCTTGAATACGTAATAATCGTTATAAAATTACAAAGAAAGTTATCCAAAGCATGTTAAAATCGTTCTGCATGACTTTCTCAAAATATTTCTAAAGTATTACGAAACGTTATTTTAACATTTTGCACAGTGCAATTTATTGAAAGTGTTTTCAACATAAAATTTAAGCGGCTTTGCAGCAACATCGGCTTAAAGCAGATAGAGGCAACCGCCGGCCGGTGGGGTTACGTTTAAAACTTTCACTAATTGTCATTTGGTCGCAAGATAGCAAATGCTGCAAATGGATTGTATTTGCATTCAGTACCGCCGGCTCAGCCGGTTTGCAATTATCAAATGTCAAATTCGTTTGCATTAAGCCGTAAAGTTAACGATTTCAAAATAGTTGGTCTTGGGTCCCGCCGCGATATGAAAATTAAGGATTTTTTTTTAGTGCATATTGATCAAGTAAAAAGTTACCTATCCCTGGCTTAAAGCTTGCAATTAACTGATTTGATAGGCAAAAACCGTATGAACAATCCGATCTCACTTAAAGCGTCTACTAAAGCGTCCAAGGTCCGCATCAGTTTGCCGCTAGGAAGTCAATAACTAGGTGGTTTAATTTTGAGCAGACCCACTGACATATGTATAATGCATTAGAGTTCCTATAAGATGTATACAATTCCATCAAAAAATTAGCTAAAAAAAAAAAAAAAAAAAAAAAATGGGAAGGTATTCATAGTTTTTGTTGCATGGGCGTATGTGCCCTTTGTAAGCGTATCCTTTGTCCGGTATGGGTCGTTTTCCAATTCTACTGAAAATTCATAGGCGATATCTTCATTTATGCAAACGGACAAATGTTTACCGCAGTTACTGAATAGTTGGACCGATGCACAGACGAGCATGTTGAGTGGCGTTCCAAATTTGAAAGTCTGCAAGAATTTATACGTTATATAGGGGTTGTGAGCCTTGCTTCTGTGGCTTGTAAAGGCATTGAAAAAAAAAATTAAAATTTACACTATAACATTGAATTTTGACGCAGGTATTACAGCATCGTCCATAGCATATGCGTCCAAATTTTTGGTATATGTTTTTCATCTGCTGTGGTTTATAAGTAATGAACAAAAAACCAAGTTATTATTCTATTTGAAAAGTAGAGGTGTTATGCTGGGTCCTATAGGCAGGTCCACGCCAACTTGCGTACAAGAACTCCCAATATTTTTGCCAAATTTACAGTGCGGCCAGGAGAATGTTTAGCGGACATTACGCAGACGGACAGACGGACATGCTTAAATCGAGCATAGCATAGTTTGTAGGGTCTCTCAACCTTAATTCTGGGCGTTGCAAACGTTTTGACAAAATGAATATCCCCTTCATCGTTCGGTGATTGATATAAAAATAAATTTTTTCTTTCTTATGCTGCTTGTCGCTGCCAAAGACTATATTTTGAGGTACACGGGCTTATATTGATTGGGTATCAATCCATCCATCTTCAAAGATTTTTAGAATTTCTAATCATATCGTCATTAAAACTGCACACATCATTGTCAGTCGCTATGTCCAAGACATTTGGATAGCGAAAAATTGCGAAATTTTAAAGAAAACATTTTTCGCCGATAACTAACATTTTCCCACATATTCCAGAAGATTCAAGGCACCCTTAATTAAAAAATTTCACGGTTCTTATGCAACTATATAGAGTTAATTTATTTATTTAATTAATTAAATTCCGCTACCAAACAAGTCATTAGCCGAATGTAAGCTACAAAATAACTTAAAATATAGTATAGAGAAGAGAAGAATATAAATAAAAGTAAACAAAAGATGAACATGTAATATACACTGGCATTCAACTAAGCCCTAAATTAACATACAGGGATGATGATATTGATGAATGAATATGTGCTTGTTTATTCATTATTAATGAGTGAGAAGTGAGAAGTGAGAAATGACAAAATCAAATATAACGGAATATTTCGATTCAATCTACGTGCATTATACAAGACTCGAAAATGTTTAGCTGTTAGCGGACAAAACAGACGGACAGATCAAGTAAGTCATAATGATCGTTGAGCATTTTACATATTACCCAAAACGAATTGAACAACGAACCCATAATTGGTTCACAAATGGTGGAAAGTTGCAAGAGCACAGAATGCCTTGAGACCCTACTGGGGATGTGAATATTATTATAAGTTCTAATAAAGTCGGCGAAAAGACATCTCCCTTTATTGGCTTAAAGACGAATGTTACACGCTACAGTTCCAAACTTTTTTTCGCCACGCCTTTTTTCCAAAGATAGGTAAGCCAATGAGCTTCAATCTACTCGTAGAAGTAGTGGAAGAGCTAGCGCAGAATCTCATTGTAAACCGCGCAAAGCGCAAAACGTCAACAAGTGCCGTTGAACAGACTCGAATCTATAACTAGGAGACCAAACTACCGACGACCGTTCAAGACTTGGTCTAGCTAAAGAACTACACAAGCACTTCGTAATATATGGGTCCTTGAATTCGTTAATCAATCTTTTTTATCAATCCTGAAACTTTTATAGGAATATCAAACTTGAGTTTTGACTCGAAAACAACTCCCAAGTCTTTCTAATTACAGACATTTATCAGGATGTGATTGTTATACAAACAAAGGTTCCAAAGATCACACTGAAGAAGTTTAGTACCACATATGTAAGTTAATGGAGAGGGAAAGTTTTTTGAATACAGTCAGGAAGGTCGTTCACATTTAAAATAATTAAAAACGAGCCAAGATGACTGCCTTGGAGGAACACTAGAAGTGACGGCAATTACTCTGGTTTGGCAGGAATTCACTAACACCCGTCGGGCGCGCCCAGAGAGATAGCTACTGAACCAGGTGATTATAGTGCATTTTTTAATCTCATCGACCTTTAGCTTTCATGCAACATTTTCCGTCCATTTCCTTAACTCATCGATTACTTAACCTGACGTTCAGATCATGTTCCGCAAACATTCCATGGCGAATTTTTTACGCGATGGTTTCCAAACGTAATACGAAGATTCTTTTGAATGCAAATGTGAAAGCCAGCTAATAACTTTAATCCAAAAGTTACGCTATTCAGTGGCTACAATTTCAAAGAAACATTTAAAGCTTACCAGTCGACCCGATAAATCAATGACTTTCGTTTTTCTTGATTTTGGAACTTAACGAATTTGTTGAGAAAAAAAAATGTGAGACCAAATTGATGATAATCGTGATTTGAACAAACGATCAGACATGTCTCGATTATATGTATAGTATTTTATGGGGGAGAAACTAACATATCTCTATAAGCCTTCCTGTGGTGGCAGTAGCATGCGAACCCTAGACGCTTGAATGCCGTATTTAAAGTTCGAAAACGCGAACTCGCACTTTCGTTTATCTAATACGAGCTGCGACAGTCATCGGCTCAAAAATGTTGCTTGAAATAATTGCAAAAGGAGCCATACATAGACCTAGATCTAGATCTAGATGTAGATAAGTTGTCGATAGATATTGGGCATAGTGAAGGGGTACTTTAATATTCGTTTCAAAGGCCATTCACATTTTTACCTTTCATCACCTACAGTATTCAATTGATTCTATTATAAAACGTGTAAATATTGCGTGTTTGGATGTAATAATATGAATATTTACATGTTGGTACTTTGAACTGACTGACAATAAGTACCATTTTTTTATAGTTCAGGTGTTGCTTTAGTTCTGCATACTACTTAAGGCAATTTCCTAACGCCATATTTTTGAGATCAATTCATTGCAATTTGTCGAACACAACAACAAACAAATAAAAGCACACAGATGGGCCAACGTCCGCCATTAAATACTCTACACCACTTCATCAAATACAGTAATTCATTCAGTAACGACTGTCAAAAAACAAAAAAAAAAAAAACAAAAAGTTTGATGACAAGTGGTCGAAAAAATAATACGAACCGAACCAATTTTCTGTAGCGTTTGTCCTTGAGCCAAAGCATATCGGCGTATCCTCTCAAAAATTGCGGCCTGCAGGTTGAACGCAACATAACTAAATGGGCAGACGGTCAGACAAGATTAGAAGAGTGTCTAAATCGATCGGTATAGTAAAAGGTGAAGTCTAGGTGACAAAGAAAAGTCTATCTTAAGATCTTCTGGGTGTTGCATACACCTGCGCCAAACTTAGTGCAACATTGTACCACAAGTGGTGTAGAGTAAAAGAAAATTAAGAAAGCCAAGATATACCTTTAAAAAAAGCCACTAAAAGTCAATAACAGATTGCTTCAGAGGTAACAAACATTATATAATAATTTAATTCGCCAATAGTGTACCAAATTTCATCAAAATATATCAAAACTTGCGGATAGAAAAACTTAAATCGATTTAGAAAATGATTCAGAATAAACATTGGGTCTGCATTTATAGACCGCGACTTCATTCAAATGATCAAAACGTATTCTGAGCAAAGCGCGCTCTGTTCGAATTTTAAATTAAACGTTTCCATGAGTCGATTACATGAAAAGAATTTAAAACAAATATTTTCGCATAACCTAAGAAA